TTCATCCCGCGTCCGCGCCGAGGCTGGGACCTCCGAACTCTAATGGCGGGTTTAGGACTTCTCGCACAATTGAATGAGTTCAGTCTGGAATATATAAGAGCAAATAGTGTTTGTTTAGCCTTTTTTTCCAGTCGAAATTGAAAGGTCTACTGTGCACTTTTAGACACTTCTGATAAACTGTAGTAAAGTGAAGATATTTTTAAAAAATAGTCCCATAAATAGTTTTTATCATTTAACTTCACACATCATATTATCATTATTATTATTATTGATGTAGTAACATATAAACCATTTATTCTATATGAATCACTATTAAAGTAGGAATTATCCAGTAGGATAATTATCACAAATAAAATTATAAAAAGTAAAAACAAAACAACAACAAAACTTTATGTAGTGTAACATAAAGTTTTTGCTTTACAATCCTCAGTGACCCCTTAGATTTGTCTTGGAGGCCTTGTGAAGCTCCCCACCTATTGCTTTATGCCTCCTTGTTGGGACATAAACGTCACGATTCTGATATTTTCTGGAGCTTTTGAATGCACCACACGCTCCTCTCTCCCCCTGTCCTGAACGCCTCCGTTGGACTGGAGGGACCACTACTATAAACATACTGAGTCCAGCGAGACAAGAAGACCACGTCCAAGCAGGAAAACCTTAGTGACTGTTTCGTCCCTGACAACTCTGAAAACAAACCAAACCAAAAAAAGTTAAGGCAGCTATAGGACATAGTTTGCAACTTTTGTTTGTCCTAGAGGTTGCACTCACATGTTGACGAGTCTCGAGGTTTTGTCTTCCAAATGGATCTTATCTAAAAGACAGACTCTCCGTTGAGGATTATCTGTCTGCTGTGTGAGCTTGAACGCCGTCGAGCGTAGACGTTTCTCCGGAATGTAGCGCAGGATAAGGGTGAGTTGCAAAACTAAAACTCTTCCCCAGCAGATTTTGTTCCTCTCCTGGTCGTTTTCAGCGGGTCTAGACATTCTTGAAGTAGAGGAAGGCTATTTTAAAAGTCTCAATGAGCAGTGCCAAAATGTAGGCCAAGCGGGTTTGGCCACGTAGGGCAGACAGGGGGATCCCAAATGTGTTCATGCTCGTTCTGCAGACAAACGAACATTAAAATACAGACAGAGCCCCAAATGGTACATTTCATTAGAGGCGACCTAAGTGCGTGTTGGGTGTGATTTCATGTGGAACTGGGGAGGTTATTAACCTCTGGGTGGCTGGAGAGTTAATTGGGAAATGCCTGGAGTCATCCAGGCCAAAGAGAATGCGGGGATTAGAGCTGCACATGCATTCATCTCCAAAGTGAGTACAATTTTACAAACCTGATTGACATGGTGCGTGCGTGCGTGTGTGTGTGAGAGAGAGAGCCTCCCTGCTCTGCCACCTGGTGACACTTTGCTGCCGAACTGCTTATCCTTCTCACAGTGTGCATATATATCTGTGTGACAAGATGTGTTCTACCACCATTACTGTAAAAAATTGGACAGACCTGTAAAGCCAAATGTAGCAGAGCTTCTTGAGGTGTAGACCACACACACAGACACACATACATCTGGCTGATTTTATGCAAAGGCATGGTATGTAAATTATATGGTGCCAGCCAGAGCCCCGGGTTCCGGAGTGCACCGCAGTTTAAAACACTAGTGGAGAACTGAAAGGACCAGAAGTCACAGTAGTGCCACGGTCAGGCCTGTGTTAGAGAGGAAGCACAAGGGAAAGGGAGAGTGTTTACCTATCTAATGTCAGTTTCTGATGGCTTCCATAGAGCCAGCGTCATGTATGTCTCTCTGTGTCCTGTCAGAATTTCTAAGGCAAGCTGCCAAAGCCATGTTTTGTTTAGTGGCAGATTATAATGGGTGTTTTCTGCAGGATGTGAGCCTGCATGTAAAAGGAAAGTGGAGCCAGAGGTCACTTGAGTTAAAGGCTGTTTGATTACCATGTGGAGCAAACATACCTGTAATTTAGGTCAAATGTTGAAGAAGAAGAAAGGAGGGAGAAAAATATTCAGCAGCACTCAACAGCTGAACTGAAGACCAAGAACCAGAGAGAATAGCTTCGGCTATAACGTGGTTCCTCTGCAGGGAAACAGCACTGCAGAGGTAGTTTTACTGTTTCAAAAGAATGGCACAGGTGGAAAGGAAACTAACAAATGTGGAACAATTTGCAAATACTGCTGGACGAAGGCAGTACTAGCCCTGTTTAGGACTGAGACAGTCGGGACACAACAGCAGTTTATCTGGACATGCATCTGCAAAACCAACCGCTTAGTTACTACCCTTAAAATCTTTTCTTTAAAAAAAATTAGACCATGGTATTTGGAAAAAGACCTTCAGCAAAGCAAAAATGTCACCTTTATGTGGTTTGGTGTTGTCTTCTCACCATTCTGGTGTTCCAAGCAGTGATTTGTTGCATTATCTTAGATATACATTATGCAAAAGAAGCTGATGTATTCTAATCATATCACAAATAACCACTAGTATAAGTAAATGTAAATCAGGATTTCAGACAAGCTGTATCTGCTCTAACATGTTTTTAAGAAGTCATAAAATACCTTTGTAATATTATAAAATAAATGTTGTGTAAGCGGTGTTTTTGTCTACAGTTGTAAGCAGTATCTGTCGTGTGTGGTGAGTGTGACTTGCAGATCACAGGATCTTTGAGTTGTGTAAGTGCTGTGCTCTCTGGCAGCACGGCAGACAACAACAGAGCGTAGAGCGTGCCGCGGCCTGCCCAACTCTCCCACACTCCACCTTTTAGACACCTTCCAGGTGCTACAGGTGAGCTGTCAGTCGCTGCCGGTGTCGCCCACTCTCTCCAGGTCAGACCTCCTCTCCCTCTGATGAACACAAAAGGTCACAAACACGACTTTTTTCATGATGTGTTTCATTTATAGGCCTAACTGTAAATGTAACCACCTATTTTTTTGGGATGTTGTGTGAGGAAATGTGTATGTGATCTGAATGGAGCACCAAGCAGAGATATTTTCCACTTGATGTTTAAACTGTGTCATGTTTCCTTCCCTCGCTGCCAGTCTGTGTGTTACAGTAGTTGCGGCCGGATGTAAACGGTAGCAAACCAAAGTGCTGCTGCTTTCATTGGCCTGTAAACCCAGTGGTATTGAAGTCACTGTTAGCGTCGGTGCCTCAGGGTTCAGCTGCGTGAAAACATTCAGTGGCTTTTTTGGTGATTGAGCATGTGTGTGGAGTCGTATTTGTGTGTGTGTAGTGGGGCTCCCAGGGGGGGGGGGCATGGAAAATGTGAACAGCATCATGGTTTGGTTGGAACAGATGTAGTGGCTGCTGGTTGATAGTCCCATCATGTTTCTGTTGTTGAGGTGGAGAGCTGCTATCAGTCTTACTGTCCCTGTTTACTCACACCCCCCCCCCCCCCCCACCCCCAGCTGTACCAACGTGATAAGACCCTGAGAAACACTGGTGTTACATCTCTTTCCTTTCTGCTCCGTTTTCCATATCCTCACTTATCTAAAGCTTGTTTTGCTTCACTCAGGCGCTGGGAATCACAGTTGTATACATTAATGAGGAAGACGTTCACACATGTATACACACGCTGCATTCTTTCTCTCCCACTATTGCGTCTATTACATCTCCAAACACACCCGGCCTCCGTGACATAAATTCTCAGATTTCACTGCCACGGGATGAGTCGGCAGCACTGCGCCATCGTTGGTTTGGAAACCAGTCTCTGGCCAGTGGTGAGCTGCATCCCTCTTCTCCATGTTCTAGTAACAGAGTATAGATGGCTGTGGCAGCATGAAACACGGTGCGTTCCCTGTCTATTACTGTCAACTGTGGCACAGTGCTGCAGCCCAGCACATATTTCTGTTGTTTTTCCTGTGGTATCTTTGGTTTATGATATTTAGCACTGTCAAACTACACACATACAGTTGGACATTCGGTATCAATAATGCAGAACTGGGAAATTATGGGATTTTTCTACTGCTAATACCCCAAAATTCATAGACTGCTAAGAAAATGTATCAGGTGCTCTGTTAAAATAGCTGGATCTTTGCACAACATCCAGGGCAGTTACATCTTATTGGTGGATTTGGATTTGTTGATAAGTGTGTGTGTGTGTGTGTGTGTGTGTGTGTGTGTGTGTGTGTGTGTGTGTGTGTGTGTGTCTGTGTCTGTCTGGTAGTGACAGAGCAGGAGATGCAGTGTGTGTGTGATTGTGCAATGCCACAGACAAGGCTCTTCCACCTTCTGGATGTCACCTCTGTGCGAACACTCTGCTCTGTATGTTTGTCACCATCCTTGTGTTCACAGATAGTAGAGAAAATGTGTGCGTGCATGCATGTACTGTACCTGTGCACGTGCTGTGCCCACGCATCTTTGTGCCAGAGATGGGCCTGGAGAGAAAAAAGGGAGATAGAAATTGAGATGCAGCAGATGATCTTGTTAGAAACACACAGTCTGGCTGTTTGGCTCTACCATCCGTTTGCAGCTGCAGACGTCGTGTGTGACAGACAATACTGTATACACATGCATGTGCCTTTATGTAACACACAATATGTGCACAGTACACGTTGGGCAGTGAACACATTTTTTTTAAGTTAAAAAAAAAACAAAAAAAAATTCCCCAGTCATCCAGTACACGTTGCACTCACCAGTGGCCAGATGAAGTCAGTGCATCCTCAGCCACTTCTTCAGTTCCACCGCTTTGAGAGTGTTGCTTCCATTGTTGGTCATTGTAGTAACCAGTCCCTTTTTGTTGAGCTTCCAGTTTGTAAGAGCATCCTGCAGGGCTTCAGCTGTAAGCTCTCTCTTGGGGAAAATAAAAAATGGTTTGGAGATGTGCTGTTTCCATCTCATAGTCTTCAGTGAAGAGCGTTGTTAAATTCGTAAATGGTTCACATGTCCCTCTTACCACATCTTGGTTGCCAGTGTGAAATAAGTCACTTTTGCGAGCCGGTCATAAGGCCGTCTGACCTCAGTGTACATTTCTGGCAGTGATTCTCTTGCAAAGTAGTCACGACTGGTCAACTGGTATCTTGGGTCAGTAGTTTTTAGAAGCTTTTAAAAGCCTCCTAGTTCCACACCATGGGTAAATGAAGCTCGCAGCTCGCTGTCTTTCAGGACAGAGCACCTTTCAGGCAGCAAAGGCCTTGTGGCCAGGGTTGCAGCAGCTGCACAAAGTTGATACGCTCTTTATCCTGCTGTTGTAAGTGGTGGAAAAGATGTGAGGAGATTTTTACAAACCAGGGCTGCTTCACTAATGTAGACCAGCGTTGTGTCTCCCATGTTGCAAGCAAAGTTGTGAGCAAGAGTGGAGCAGTGCAAAGGGGAAGTTGTCCCGTTCAGTGCACTAAACATGTAACACATGTTCAAATTCTGGTATGTTTTTGTTAATTACAAAAGACAACATTTTTTGTGTCTTATTGCCCAGTAAATTGGGAAGTTAGTATTTTGTCTCTGTGCAGAAGGTGAATAACGTCTGATCTGCGGAGGTGCTGCACGGACTTCAGAGCCATGTTTCGCCAAAACATTGCACTCCTGAGCTCCATGGTAGGCCGGTGGGCCACAAGGGGATCAAAGTCATTAGAAGATTTTAAAAGTATCAGACCAAACCTGGCTGCTCTGGTGCAGATGTTCCTTTAAATCTTTTGTTTTATGCCTGCTAAAGATGGTTCAGTAGAGGTAGGACAATAAGATAAGACAACGCAGCAAGTGACTAAGGTTAAAAATAATGTCTTCTGTTATACTTGAGCTGATTTTAATAGTGGATTTATCTTTAAGTCATTTATCAAGCAAAAATACCTCAAATTTTTTGGTTCCTGCTTAAATGTTGTGATTTCCACTGATTTATAGTATATCATTAATTGAATACATTTGAGTCTGGGCTGTTGGTTGGACATGAAAAGCTATTTATTATTATTGTTTTTAACAAAAATGCCAGAAATGTGTGGTTTCCAGTTTCTTGAGGGGGCATCTGGAAAAATTAGTTAATTTAATTCTCTCTACTAATACAGGTTACCCTACCGTTTGGTCCTGTCCTGGTTGAAGCTCATAGACCAAATTGTAAAGGGAGGATCTGGAGGAAGCATAGTCATGAGCTGCGAAGCACTTAACCCGTTTGTTTTGCTACAGCGCTCATGTGTAAAGGGAGGGGAGGGAGTGTGTGTGTGGGGGGGATTGGTATCTCAGACAGAGACCAGCAGCAGAGATCGGATTGATTGAGTTACACACGCTACACTTGTGTCCTCAGCTCTTGGCGGCCTCTGTCTAATGGTCTTAGCAGTAGGCGACAAAGTGCTGTTTTGTTCCTGCTGTTGTGCGGATGTGACTGGAACTAAAAGACAGACGAGCTGGCCCCCGAGATAGAGAAGAGAGGGAGTGCACGCAGCACCCAGATCAGCAGCTCAGTTCCTGGTCAGACACTTAGGAATAGTTTTATTTACAACTTATCTTTTTGTCAGTTATGTAAAAATGCACCAAGTTGTCTTCCTGATTAAATTATACTGGAGGTTCTGTGGCGTTCAGCCTGCAGATGAGCAACTCGCTGCAACAGTCTGGTTGTGTTTTAGTTGTGTAATACCGCCTGGCTGGCTGTGGTGTTTGTCACAGCATGTTTTGGTTTGGTTATAATTTTCAGGTGGCCCCTGTGAGCCGAATCCACGCCCGAGTTGACAAAGAAGTCACTGCAGCAAAACATCACACCCTGAGGGGAAACTGGTGTCAACATTGTATTTAAACTGCTTTAATATCCTTCTTTTGTCAGCTGTTACCACATAACTTCAACTGAATGTTCGTTAAACCCTGCCGCCTTAGTTACTGTTGGTACACCTGTCAGTGCTTTCCATTCCGGCACAATGCATTGCACAGTATGCAGTGGTAGAAGAAGAAGAGTTACGACTAGAAATTTTGTGTCATTTGTGCCAAAATTTGACTGACCGCCCACGGTGCCACCCCTGCCAGAGTCGAACTGGGACGCTTGTCAGTGTTAATAATTGAAAAATGAAAAACAATAACAAATTGTTGCTTTTCCGTGTCAGCATGCAGCATGATATTTGCGGTCATCTCTTCATTGCCACCCTTCTTTGATTTGTGCCAAACCTGGCCACGCTGTCCAAAATTCTCTAGGTGGCCCCTGGTTGGGGGCCGACCTGCCTACCTCCTGAGCCACAGCCACCCCCGCCTTTGTCTTACACACAGTGCATCTGCGAATAGTGCTGATAAAATGATCGACTTGGGGTGGTGTGGCTTAAACGCACACAGAGCGAACAAAGTTTTCACCTTTTTGCCCTTCGCTACATTAGGGGATAGATTTTTATTTATCTAAAACATGACAAAGATAGGAATGTTACATATACGGTATATTTAGCCAACGCTCACTACCCTGTAGAAGAAAAACAGTCCTCTTCCCTCAGTTTTCCCTCTCGTTTTCTCTGCACCACAAAATTACAGTGTGCAAGCTCATAAACGTATATGCTGCTGGAAATAAACACAGCGTTTGGCAGAGAATGTTGCTGCAGCGCTGTAGTGGCACTGAATCAGTGTTTTTTTTTTTTTTTTTTTGCACCGAGGAGTGGGTTTGGTACCAGGCTATTGTCTGTCTGGCTTTACTCAACCGCACGCTCCCAAACCGTGCCACTGATTACCAGTTTGGAGTTGCACGAGCTGCTCTCTGGTCCTTTGGCTAACCTCTGAAGAACCTGGCCTGTGTGTTTGTGTGGGTGTGATGTTGTGTATGTGGTGCGCCCTGTTCATTCACATCTATGTTTGTACACTACACAGTGAAAGTATGCGTCTTTATTTGTGCCTGTGTGTGTTGACAGTGATCGCGCAGGCCTGTGCACTTGGAAAAGTGTCATGAGAAATTTTGGGGGGGAAGTTTTACCGTCAACATGTGATATCACTTCCCCTAAGTCGGCGCTGGAGGGGCAGGTCAGCGAGCCTGTGGTTCAAGTCAGGCGCTGACTGGGGTCACAGTGGCCACATAACCCAAAGCAAAGCTGATTTACTTGACCATTGTAGCCCGGTTGTTTGCTGGGTGACTTTCTTATTCTGTGTATTTGTGTGCATTTGCAAAAAAAAACACACAAATAAGATGATGCCACATTACACTGAGCTGTCTCAGATGGATTCAGGAATAAGGAATGTGTTACACCTCTCAAAGGGGCACATCTGTTACAACAGGCAAGCACGAAACAAGCGTGATTCACATCATAGCAAACAACACGGCTGTATGGCCTCGATTTGTAGCTTCTTATCCTCTTTCATTCAAGACTCACTCCCCGTGTTGTCCCCCCCCCATTGCACTTCGTCTCTCTCTCTCTCTCTCTCTCTCTCCCTCACACACACACGCACTTGCCTTCCTTGTGGTGCATGCTTGTGTCAGGTGTGCTCTGTTTTTCCAGTCAGGGTAGAGAGGAATCTGGGACGGGGTCCAAGCTGACTATCAACAGCACATTGCTGGAGCCCAGGACAAGAAGCAACACATCCAGTCCAACCTCACTCCTCACTCCTCCTCCCTGACCCTCCCCCTTTTCTCCTGATCACTGGAGCATTGTCATACCATGCCTTGTCTCAGATATTTTACTCTCCTCTTGCTTTAATCTAAATATTGGATACATTATTCTCTATGTTAACGCAATCTTTTGTTTTTTGTACTGGGTTGCCATTTTTTTTCAGTAACGTGTTCCAGTGTTTTCTGTGAACGAGAGGTTCTTTCTCTGCTTGGGGGGTGTGGAGCCTTTCCTTCAGATTTATTTCTGGTTTTGTGATCTAGTTTCTGTATATCAAGGCTGAACATTGGCCGCCACCCTTAAAATGACAATGCTTTTAGCTATTTATATTTATTTCCATTGACAACACCAGCCTTTTTAGAAATTCTTTGGCGACTAAACCACTCAGTTTAAAGCTAATTTAGTTTTTGGGTTTGCCTCTCAATAGTGTGTGTGTGTGTGTGTGTGTGTGTGTGTGTGTGTGTATACATATGGTATACTACATGTGTGAATGCTTGTGGGTGTTTGTGTGCCGTGCCCTTCTTCAAAGCTGTTTCCTTGTCACAGACAAGCTACGAACTGATGACTAACCCAGAGATGTGTTCAAAATGTTCTTCATAAACCTGTCTCAACCCTAAAACTACAGTGTGTGTGTGTGCGTGTGTGTGTGTGTGTGTGTGTGTGTGTGTGTGTGTGTGTGTTGCTTCATCATGATTTTGCGCTCATGTTACAGCAATTAACAATTTCACTAGTTTCTCGTTGACAGCATAACTTATTGTTTTCTGCTTTGTGGCAGCGGCTGACAAAAAGTGTGTATGTGGAAGCATATGTGCACCACCACATGTGTGTGTGTGTGTGATCTTACACTCTGCTACTCTTTATGCTGCGATGTCTAGCACTGTGCTGCTGTTGGTTAGAGATGAAAAGGAAAGGAAAGGCCTCCCACACAGGCAGATATGAGGCTTAGAAGGTCCATTAGTTCCTCAAAGCCAGCTGCCAGGTTCAGCTGGATGTCTGTGCTCGGCTGTTTGATGTCCATTCATCCATAGCCTTACGTCTGGGCCTCTGTCTCCCAGCTTTGCCCGACACATGGCCTCACGCGGCTGGAGAGAGCACAGCTGCCGTGACTGTAGGATAAAGCTGTCTGCTACCGTGTCATTCCTGCCTCTGCTCGAGCCATAGCACCACCACCGCTGCTGTTATTGCTGGTGATTCTGCTAGTCTTCTCTGTTTTTGTTTGTTTGTTTATGGGAGGTAGGCAGGGGGATAATATGGGCTAATGTGATGTGGTTTGATAGGAAGAATGTTACTGATTAGAGCACCATGCAGTTTCTGTATTCCTGTGGGCTCCAGTGTGAAAGGAAAGTGCTGAAAAGAATGCACTAAATTATCTGTAGATATTTTTCAGGCATTCAGTGTCATTGACTAATCCTTCCCCTTTTTCATATCTCCCTACAGCACCTGCTCTTCCTCCTCCTCCTCTTCTTCATCAGCTTCCTCCTCCTCTCCAGACATCTTTGGGAATGGGCTTGCGCCTTGCCAGGGTGCATCTCTCCACCCGGTGGCGTGGCTGGCATCATGTGAGAGTGAGGAGGGCAGCGGCCAGGTCATAGGGCCTGCCCCCCCCTCCCCCCCTTGCTTGCTCACAAGTGACTTTTGACCTTTGACTCAGCCACGATTCTGCCGTGACCTCTGGCCAGCCATGCCCTTCCGGCTGAAGCTGAGGCGCACACGGCGCTACAATGTCCTGAGCAAGAATTACTTTGTGACGCGGATTCGCCTACTGGACAGCAATGTGATCGAATGCACTCTGTCAGTGGAGAGTACGGGACAGGAATGTCTGGAGGCGGTGGCCCAGAGGCTGGAGCTACGGGAGGTAAGTCTTCTATCATCTGACACTGGTACATGCTGTTATCAGCTTTTGCCTCTAATTGACAGTTTATAAGCAGGGTCCTCGTGTGTCTCTAATAATGCGTGACTACCTCTGTTCTCTTTTGACTGCGGAAGAAAGATGCTACTCATCCCCCTGTCTCAATTCAACCCTCCGCTCTGTATTTTCACACCTGTTTTCTCTTTTCCTCTCCATTTGTTCCACATTTTCTTTGTTTCCTGTTTATCTGTTGGAACTTTTGAGGTTTAAGCACCTTGCTCTGTGCTCAGTTACTAATGAGCGGAATATATTCAGTTCCATGTTTTCATTTTCTTTCCTCTGACCCTTTTCTGTCCTCTGTCCTTCACGTTTAACACAAACTAAATGTACGTGTCTTTGGACGGGGTTTGTTTGTTTGTATGCGGAGGGAAAATGTGTGATGAATTGGTGTGTGTCTGTGTCTACTGGGGCTGCTGACAAAGTGAGAGAGAGGGTTGGTGTAGTTGTGTGTACTCACATAGTGTTGTGGTATTTGCCAGGTGTGAGTGATGTTATAAATAAAGTGGTGCGATGCCTCAGCTTCAGCCGCTGTCTGCCCCGTGCGTGCACTCTATCTCTTTGTGTGTGTCCATCAGAATTTTGTGTGTGTGTGTAGATGGATGTCCATTATCATAGAGTCAGTTGTGCATTTTCTAAATTTCATGGTCAGCCATTAGTAGTGTGGGGTAATGTAATGTAACACAAACTTGCTGAGGTTTTGAATCAAAAGACAAATTCGGATCAGGGGCCTGGTTCACTAAAGCCATTTTGGAGCACTGCACACACACACAGTGCACATCGCGGATTCAGCTCGTAAATGACTGACGCTCAGACATTGCAGATGAATTAGCATGGAAGTCCCACAGGGCTCTTGCACAATCATTCATAGGCTGCACATATCGTGTTTATTTTTATTAGTGGAACGTGTCAAAATTAATGGGATAGGAAATGATCTCATGTTTAAAGTTGTAGCATGTAGAGACGTGCCCAAGATCTGTATAAACAGGCTTTTATAGGATTTATAGTCTTCATCTAGAATATCAGACACATCTAATGTTAAGAAACCAAATCAGCGTTCTTATTCAGATCTGGGGGCTTTTTCTCGGCATTATGTGGCAGGATATGTTGATTCTTGCAGTCTAAACTGGTTACAGCTCTTTTGAGCTCCTTTGCTAAACCACTCACTCTTGTTTTGACTGGTACTGTAGTCAGTATAGCGTCTTTTAGAGGAACTGTTTTCACCAATTTAAATGGGTTGATGCATCATCACTTATTTCCCTGTCCTGCTTTTACTGTTTATTCAGTTTTATTTTAAATTAGAATATCGAAATGACAAATTAACAGGCAGGAGACTTCATTTTGGTTTACAGAGATGGGTTCATTACTGTTTCTGCTCTCCCAAGATAATCTTGGTGGTAATGGCCCTGGTCTGATATTTATGTCCCACAGAGTTACGCTGCTGACGTCAAAGGTTTGATCAGATTTGAAGGAGAAATATGTGCTTGTTGTAGTTCAGCTGCTTATTAATCTCCTCCAAGCATTTCTCATCTCATTTCTCATTTCCCTCCTGAGCCAGTTTTGTTCCATCCCTATAAATCCCTATTTCCCAGCCCAATACCACCATTACCTTCTAATTTCTGTCTGTTTATCTCTCGCTGCATTGCACTTACATTACTCATTTTTTCTTTTCTTCTTCCTTGTCTCATCTCAGCTCTTCTTTCCTTCATCTCTGTTTCTTGTGCACCACATTAACCTTCCCCCATCTCGCCCCTGCTCCTAGACCCATTACTTCGGCCTGTGGTTCCAAGGAAAGACCCAAGCTCCGGCCCAGCGCTGGGTGGAACTGGAGAAACCCCTCAAAAAGCAGCTGGACAAGTTTGGCAACGAGCCACTGCTCTTCTTTGGAGTCATGTTCTACGTGCCCAGTGTCTCCCGACTGGAGCAAGAGGCCACCAGGTACAGGGTCTCACTCAACATACAAATTCAGCGCCGCCACATTTGTGCTTCGGGCTGTTGCTGTGTATCAGAGCTACAGTACAACCAATGAGATTTACAGCACCATCAGAACTTTCTGATTGATTTACTGCAGTTTGTCAGCCACCTTCATATACTCACACCAGAAACTGTCAATGTCACCTGTACTCCTGTCAACTTGAATTGCTAACTCTTAACATTAGAAAATGATTCGGTCTATAAAGATGCCTGACACATGTCCCAACTTGAGATGGAGCTTGGACACAGCTGGCAGCAGACAGATTTATTCATCAGCAGCCATCTTTTCTCTATTAAAGCCATAACTGTGTGTATGTACACATGTATGTCTGTGATGAAAAGGTGTGAATGAATGCGTTAGCTAGCTGTGAAAAGGCATCCAGAGGTCAGTGTGTAGTGAACAGTCTGCCATATGGCAGACTGTTCACTACACACTGAGCAGGTCGCACTGAGCTGGTGGATTTGCGGCTTCTGCCTGACTAGATGTGGGAAAGGTCGATTGCAGGTCACAGCTTGACGTTTTGTTACTAGAGTTAGTTTTAAGGTGTGTGTAATAACCATTCACGGTGTTGAATTTCCTCAGTATTTTTGAGAGGCAGGGCCAGATGCGTTGATTTGGTGCTTAGATTCACTGTGGGCATGACGGGGAGAGGCTGCAGAGTGTGAGTCTGCAGGTTCGTTACACAGAAGCCAGGGTCTGCTCAGGTAAAGGGATGGTATTTCAGGACCCCCCCCTCCAGGCTTTTACAGTGTGTCTGCATATATGGGGGGCATGCGGTTAGAGAGGTTATGATGGGGCCTTAGGGGCGATTTATGGATCAGTGGTTCTCTCTCTTTCAATTCCTGTGCATAGTGTCATCCCTACTCTGTTATCAAGAGCAGACCTCCAGATCAGTGTAGTCCCACATGTCAACTCCCTTTCTCCCTTCATTCTCTAGTTCTTCTTCTCTTCTTATGTTAGTCAGGAATGTTGGCACAGCCGTCCGGCGTAGGAGGCGGACCACACATTCCTCGGAGCAGAGGTGCTGGGGGTAAACAGGGTGGGGAATGTCTCCTTTACGACATACATACGCACACACTTGGACTCACTCACCTCACACACTCCGCACACTCCCCCCAAGAATCCTCTCAAAAGCCAGCTACAGCCCTGTCAGAAGACTTGGTCACAATATGCCATATTGTAGGAACATACATGCAGCCTGAGGCCAGTGTTTCCAAAAGCCCAGGTGTTTTGCTTTTCTATAGATCAAGTTGGAAACGATCTTCACAACTTTTTCGATGAGGTTCAGACATTTTTATTACATATTACCTTTAATCAAGGGATTTGCAAAATCCCAAATATATTTAAAAGCATTTTTGCTCTTATACTGTTGGCACTAGTCTGAAAGCTCCATCACTTACTGTGGGAAAGAACATAGAAAATATAGGTAACTTATTGACTCAGGGTTGGTTTGGGTTAGATCCAATGAAGCGGATCTTTGTTGTAGTTTTTTTTTTTTCTACACACCTGTTCTGATAAATGGAGGAAGGACAAGATTCAGAGAACGAATGACAAACAAAGAGGAAGACAAGCGAGGACAGAGAAAAGTTAAGGTTTGGCAGCCAGACATGGCTTTGGGTTAGTAGCTTGTTATTTATGTGGTTTGAGCTCGCTGCCTGCATGGGTTTTTTGCTGGAGCGTGTACATATTTATGTGTCCACACCGAAACGTCTGTTTGTGCTTCTGTGTAAAAATGGTGGACGGAGTGGATTTTGGAACATTTGCTCTTTGTTTGAGTGAAGTAACTTTGAAAAATTTAAATGTTACTTAACACAAAATATATGCAATCAAGTGTTACCGACTGAGATGTAAGCTATTGTTTTAACTTGATGCCATAAAGCAGAGAGAGAGTGTCTCTTTTGAGTAAATGAGAAAGTAATATGAGTATTTTATAATGTGGTCAGGTCTTTGAAGTTCGACTGATGTGTAACCTGATACTGGATCTCCCTCACTTCCCATCCGTCCATTCATCTGTTTCTTCCTTCCTCATTTCCTCCCTCCATGCAGCTGTGAAAATTAGCCCCCTGCTATTGGTAAAATCTGTGTTTTTTGTGTTGGTGTGTTCACTGGTTGTGCATTATATTCGCACCAATAATCCACCAATTCTTGAGGTCATGCAGTTAACAAATTATATTTTTTCCACAGTCTTAAAGATACTAGAAACATGATGGCAGAACTAGGAAGTAGTACAGAAAAAATTAGTTGATTAATCAAACTACAGAAAAAATGGCCAACAGCATCAGTCAAATGAAACACAAAAATGGTTACAAGGATAAAATTTTGGGTTTGAGGTTAAAGACTGGAATGATGACCCTTTTATCCGTGGCAGAGTCTGGACAGTGCATTTTTAGCCAGAACAGTCCTTTAGGCCACCTACAGTAAACCATAATAATGCCCTATACACATTAACGTTAAGTGTTTTGGTTTGGGGGGGGGG